AATATTAAACCCGCTTTTCTCAAAAATGAAAGAGTTCCGACCTCGCCAGATATTCCAAATCGTGACTCCAAAAACACAAGCCCAGTTTTCGTTACTGATGTTCAAATGATTACCAAGGTTAGCACACACCCATTCTTTTAATTCTAAGGAGAAGAAAGGAACCTGATGTTGGTACGGGATTAAACGACGCCATGTTTGCTCGGCATGAGGGCAGTCCCGAAGACAATGGAGTATCGTTTCTTGTGCACTTCCACATAACTCGCAAGCAGCACTTTCAGCCAGATGACGACGGAATCTTTCTCCATTAGTGAGCAGGCGTTCTTTCACAATTAGCCACATGAATTGACGGATTCTTTGGGGCCCCGTCCAGCTCCACACCTCTTTCCAAATACGCCTTGTATTCGCGTTATGAGTCCCAAAAAGTGCTTCGTATGCCGACTTAGTTGTGAAACGTCCATCGCTCGACCATCCCCAGTACATAATGTCATCGCCTGACCCCGGGGAAGGAGGAAGTGTGGCAGCTATACGCAATAGAGACGTCGCGGGCAGTAGGGGTTGGAAAAGGTCCCATCGCCAAGCGCCTGCACTATCAACGAATTTATCCAGTGTCCAAGAGAGATGGTGTTCCGGTACCGGGCCTAGAGCTTCTTCAAACAAGATAGTAGCGCTCGTAAGCCACCGATCCGTCCAAAAGTGTACCCGATGACCGTTGCGCACTGACCAACGTACTCCAGCAACTACTGGCCCCCAAACTTTTGCAATGGCACGAATAACGGCCGAGCCTCGCGAGACCTCAAGGCTAGTTTTAATCTCCAGTGGGTTGAGACCGTATTTCGAAATCAGCACTTGCGCCCACAACGCGTTGGGTGAGTTCAACAGGCCCCAGCCCAACTTCATCAATAGCGCCTTGTTCATTGTACGTTGGTCCTTAAAACCTAATCCACCCACCGCCTTTGGAAGACACAAATCATCCCAACGCACCAAATTGATTTTCTTTTGGGAATCCGTACTACCCCATAAGAAGCGACGACATCTCCTGTCAATGCTAGCGCACACCGATGAGGGCATCCATGCCGTTTGCATTGCGTAGAAAGGCAATGCATTCACTACTGATTGCATTCATTAATAACAGTTACACAATTATATTAGGTATAATTGTAATATTTATGACTTTGTTTGGTAATTTTATAGTTAAGAATATAATAGAGGTAAAAATGTAATATTAATCATATCTCATAGTAATGAGTGCAAATTCCTCATTTGGTTAAGAGCTTGATTGAGGTCGAGCCAGTTTATTTTAGTTTAATTTTTTACTCATTTATAAGCTTACTACATTTTTTTTTTAATTTTTTTTGGAAAAATCCTTAAAAGAGAAAATTACTTGTTACACCACATAATAACATTTTTATTACATACTACTTATATATAAATTTTAGCAAAACAACTAAAACTAACATAATTATTTGCATAAATACTAGAATGATGGCTTAAATGCAATTGTATTTTATTTATGGAGAAAACTTGACAAAAAAACGTTTCCACTTTTTATGCCATTAAAACTCTACATCTTTTTTCTCTTTTATTATCTTCTTCATCTTCCATTTTTCTATGATTTTTTTTTTTCTACAGAAGCCTGAAAGCCGACGGCAGTCCCTTCCAACTCGTGAGTGGCGGAGGTCACCGGACAACAGGCTTCAACCGAGGGCAGTGGGAACTTGATATGTCGGGCACCAGCGGGAAAATTTGTATTATTACAACCAACGTACAACGACACGAGTTGGGCGAGATAAAGACGGCTAAGGGCAGAGAGTGGTGGGGGTGGTTTTGAGCCATTGATCGTGTCACGAGGGGAGAGAGAAAGAGGACGACTGGGGTTAAAAGGGCAAGGAACGGACTATATATAACACGATTATGTTATGTATATGTGAACGAATTATATGCTTATAGTATATGGGGATGCAACTCTGCAGTTGTTTTTATGATTGTATATGTGATGTTTATATATTGTATATGTTGTGTATATAAGTGTATATTTTCAGTATATGTGTTATGTGATTTTATATATTGTATATGTTGTGTATATAGGTAGTATATTTTCAGTATATGTATTCGTAGACACATTCACATATAAGTATGTGTATATGGTTATGTTGAGTATATAATCAGTATATTTTTTTCTTAACATACCAGGTTAAGATTAAGGTACGAGAATGAGAGAGAGAGAGAGAGTATTTTTAGGGATGATATTTTGTTATTAATGTAAATCTGTTCAATTATGGTATTTCTCAATTATGGCATTTCATTAATATGGAGCAACCCTTCACTTACAGGATTTAGTTAGGAAACTATATAACTGCAGTGTTTGGTGTCTAGCAACTACCTAATTATTTTGCTTGAATTTCGTACAAGCACAAAAATTATGTAAATATGCAATTTTTTATGTTTAATAACGGCACATATGCAAATAGGCCTAATTAAAACATACATAAATCATTCGTAAACGAGTTCTAGACAGAACGTGCAATTTAAAAATTAATTACAAAAATAAACCACTACCATTCTTAAACTGTGAAAATTATTGTAATTGTAAGTAGAATTAAAAATGTCATAAATATGTAATTAAAATAATAATTTAGAGGTGAATGGATTATTTATTTCCATATTTTTTTTATTATTATGATTATGCATTAGTAAATAGAATAAAATTTAATTTGACTATAACTCAAAATTACTTTTTCCTTCATGGATTTGGGAGCTACTATCAATTCAAATTACATGCATTCTAATAAAGGCAAAAATAATATACAATAAATAATGAATTTTTAATTTTTTTTTTTCACTTTTTATATTTTTGTAAGGGTGCTTGAAAAAATAATATACAATAAGTAATGAATTTAAAAGAATATATGTTATATTTTTCATAAATAATATATTTTTATGCTAATACGGTGCTTGAAAGAATGAATCCACAGTATATAATGAATATGTAATAATGAATATAAAATATATAACGAAATAAAAATAAGTTGCAACTTCACCCTCAAGTTTTGTATGTTTGCTTAATTATATAACAGGTATGAAAAAAAGAATCTAAGATAATTATAATTTCTTATTGTGAATGAGTTATTTCTTATTGTGACTGATGTGACTATATTAATTTGTAAAGTTTATGTGGGTTATTAATTTAATCTAACAAATGTGAAGTATTTCAAAAATATTGTCAAAAGTCGTTCATACAAACACTAATACATGAATTGTTTATATGGTGGTTTGCAAAAAAATAAAAAAAAAAAATGTTTATATGATAAAGCCCCAAAATCGTGATAGTTCGGATGAGAAAACGTTTTTTTTTTTATTAAACTAAAATGGGTATTGGAATTAAATATATCATAAACCCTGATTTTTTGTTTTCTTATTTAAAAATATATTTATTTATTTAGTTTTATGCTTAAAATTAATAGTTATAATTAATTCTATTTTATGTTTTCCTGTCGGATTTAAAATGCTATAATTTGAAAAGGTGTAAAATGTGTGTTATTATATTGAGAATTTGTAAAAATTGGTGAGAATATTCTTTTGAGTTTGAGAATAATTTTTTCGATTGGACAATAATTACTGTTTGAAATGACTCCAAAATGAGTTTGTGAAACAGTTATTTCAAATTGGGTTTGAAAGAAAATGACACAAGTATAAAAATGATTATATTGAGGAGCCTTTTTTTAATTATTAATTGTGAATATTTAAATGTAAACTTGATTGTGTATGAGAAAGTACTCGTAGGTAGAAGTGTTGTCCTTCATCTTTATTTAGCATCATTCGTATTAGGTGATAGCATATTTTAACATCAGAATATCACAGTGCGTATGGCTAAAAGCCTAAAACAGTAAAATGGATCCATCAAGTTCTAAACGTACTCCACCTGCTTAATGCCACCTTCAATTTTGTCTACACTTTATTTAGTACACCCAAGTGGACATGGCCAAAACTGGTTCCGGGTCGGAACTGCCAGTTCCGGGCCGAGGGTTGGTTGGTCCTGAACTGGCCCGAACATATGCACGGGCTGGTTTGGTGTACCAGCAGTCCCGAGCCGGTTCTGTAACCGCCGGTTCTAGGTTGACCGGCGGTTCAAAAATCACATATTTTGTGGCCCATTACTGGCCCGGTCAAGCCACGGGCTTGGTCAAGACCCATTGACCATAGGTCGGTTCGGGCTCCGAAGTCACGTCTACACTCAAGTTACTGAACTTTTCACCAATTTATTCTTACTTTATTTGATTCATTTTCTATAGATTCCAGCATATAGTTACAAAATAAAAGGAGAAAAACTGAATAGTTCATCCTGCAATGCAGTAGTTCATCAGTTCATCAATACAGGAGAAAAAAAAAAAAAACATTGAAAAGTAACAACTCTCTTGGCCACACACATTGCCAATTGCTCATGACTTTGGAGTTGAAGCATTTGGTCCATGTCCAGTTCCAGGCCTTGTTTGCTTCACATCAGGTTTTGTGAACCATGTTGTGTACAGAAATTGCTTGTTGGGCCCCACATGATTGCATATTTGCCGTAGTTTTTGCCTCTCCCGCATCCATCTCATCACTATTTTCATGTGCCGCTTGCTCGTGAGACCTTTCAACCCGACATCCTGATCATGTGGAAAAAGTTTCATTAGCCATCTTATCATGGTTAAGTAAAACAAAAAACAAAATGCTCACACAATTTGTGAAATAAGCAAACAAAGCTGATACTGTACGTAGACTTCGATATGAGGAGAAAACAACTCATTATAAAAGGCAAAGCTCCGCTGTTAGTGTGACATCAAAGGTTACGAGTCGCCGAGCCAGCCAAAAAAAGAATCTCAAGTTGAGGACTAGGAAAAAAGGGAGATTAAAAACTTTCAGGGTGGACATAGCAACATTATATATCAATTACAAGTTAAACCTTAAGGATAATACTTAGTTTGTCATCTGCACAAAAGACTGCAAACGTAAGCAAATAATCGAAACCAAAAGTTGTCATTAGCTCTAATCAACTAATTACTAACCAATAACAAAATCAGGGAACTGTAGAGAGATCTGCTCTGGAGACAATTCATATCATAGGTAGTGTGTTGATACTTGCTAGATGGGTATGAAACTCAAGAAAATGCAAAAAGCCCATTTGAAATGTGTAAAATTGCTATTCCCCACAACCCTCTGTGGATGGCTAGAAATGTCTAACCCGAGGTCTTAACATTGATATGTAGAAGCCGCTTATTAGTTTCACATGCACATCATGAAAGTATTAAACGTGAAACTGATTACAAACCCGTGTATGCAATGAAATGGTTCTATACCAATAAGAACTAGAAAAAATGGATGATATTTATGGAAATGCATTTGAATCTAATCATTCTTCTCGAACTGGGTTTGACATGTTAGCCTCATATACTGTTTCGGGTTCCATTTAACATAGATATCCATAAATGATAGTAAAAGTCATACATATGCTTCAAGAAAGTGACAAAGGAGCAAGTAACAATATATCCTATAGGTTATCATCAAAAGAGAACAACTTAAGATTGACAATCTCAACCAAACCTCATAACATATAAGCTTATCCCACATGAATGCAAAATCAATCCCTCAACTGAAAAGCACTTATAGTAGTTAACTTATCTACACACATGAAATCTGTAAACAGTGAAAACACCAACAAGTGCGAGAAAACGAATACCTTAACATGCTCCCAGGTGTCTGCAATGGTTAGTGGACCATGTTCCTTCAAGATGTTGAAAATAGTCCTCGTGATCGTCTGCGTTTGCTCGGGAGGAGTTTTGAGTTCTATTGGTTTCATCTTCGGCTTTGGTTTCCTCGCTATATATCTGACAGCGGTTGCAAACATGATGAACCTTTTTTCCGGGAATATAACTCCAATTCAATCAGCAAAGAGAATCTCCTTCCTAAATTTCTGTACCAAAAACACAGAATAAACAACATCAGTGTACGTCCAGCGCCCTTATAGAATCAATTAGCAGCCGGGAATTTGAGGAAAATAGTACGAACTCATTGAGGCATTTCATCGAACACATTCCGAACACTCTAATGTGCACATGTAAATGAGCGAGACAAAAATAGACATACCTGGGAATCAGTTAAATGATGGGAAAATTGAACATTAAACACTTGAATCCTGTGATATAATAAGCAAGTAAATGATCAAAGTTGGCATAATTATCGGTGCTGGTTTGTCCTTCGGTTTGGGAGCTGGTTTGTTGTCCTTCGGTAGAGTGAAAGAGGGCGAGCAGGTGGTGAGTTGTGAGGAGGGATGGCGAGGAGGTTTAATAGAGTTACCACCCAAGGCAGTGACGGACATTGTAGATGGACATGTGGCGGTTAACACAAAAATTATTCATTCAATCAAAAAGTACACAATGGAAAGTTATTAAATTCTCTCTCCTGGGAGCTCGCGATTCTCTCGGTAGGAGCAAAACAAATTCTTCTCCTTCGACAATCCCAGTTTCTATTCTTTCTTTGAGAGTTTACTAGTGTTCTCTCTATTCCATTTAGCTTTTTTCTTTTTCTCTTATTGTGTTTTTTTTTCTGTGATTCCTCTTATTTGGCTTTTTTAGGGTTTTTGCGCAGGATGTGAATGGATTCGGATTCTGCTAAGACGTTAAATCTTGATTGGCTAGCAGATGACATTGGGAATAGGCTGAAGAATATTGAGTTAGAAGGAGCAGAGAGCGGGGTCATTGAACTGGATGAGAAAGATATAAGAATAAGCGCAGATGAATGTGACCGCAGTCTGATTGGGAAAGTTATTGGAGACCGAAAAGCTTCTCTGATGGGTATTAAAAGAACTATGGGGGCGATTTGGAAGATAAGGCAGCCAGTAGAGGTAGTTGAGCTCAGCCACAATCTGTTCCAATTTATTTTTGGAAACAAAGAGGACAAGGAGAAGGTAGCCCCCGGGGTTAACTGGATATTTGAAAATCAGTTCATTATCTTGTCTGAATGGGAGAAAGGGTTGGGAATCAATCATAAGCGTTTCTCTGAACTGGATATGTGGGTTCATGTTGGCAATGTGCCTCTGGATTGGCTTAGCACAAATGTGGGGTTGAAAATCGGTAGGATTTTCAAGAAAGTGAAAAATGCCAACGTTATCAAGGCGGGAGGAGAGATAGGAAGTTACATCCGTCTTCTTGTCACTATAAACATAAATGAGTCGTTGCCAACATACATTTATATGAAGTTAAAGGACTAGCAGGTGTTTATAAGCTTTCAGTATGAAAGATTAGTTAATTTGTGCTACTATTGTGGGAAGCTTGGGCACTTAGACAGATCTTGTAAAAAAAGACTGGTGGATATTGATGAGGGCAAATTCAAGGAGGGGTAGTACGGAGACTGGCTAAAAGCTTTAGATGGAGGAGGATACGTGAAGGCTAGCTCGTCGAGTTCCCCAATTCCTGTTGCGAATGATGAAAAATCCCAGGCTCACACGGGCACAGTTGGCCAGTCCAACAGAGAATCTCATGAAGTTAATCTGAATAAAGAAGCTCACCAGGATAGTAATGAAGAAGGAGTGATGAAGGCTCAAAAGAAAGCGATAGCTTGTAGCAGTTATGCTAATGTGGACAATCCAAATAGCCAATTTCTGAAGGAGCAGAATGATATGATCACTCCAGTGGTTACACAAAAGGAAGAATGCTCGGGCAAGAACTTGCTTATGGAAGAAGGTTGTGCAGTAGATGACCAGACAATGGTGGAAGTTTTTACAGAAAGTCCGGGACAGTTAGATGCAAACCGTGATGAAGGTCCAAAGGAGAATCTGAAGGCCAATGCCCCCAGAGGGTGGAAAAGGGTTAAAAGAACAGAAGGCAGAGATCAGAGTTGTTCAAAACCTTTGATTGAGCATGAAACCCAGGAATCCCTGAAAAGAAACAGAGAAGCTGCCATTAATTCTGTGGATGAAGAATCAGTAACTGAAGACTTGAAGAGGACCCAGAAAAAATCCAAAGTATTAGATGCTAAGGTGGAAGAAGCCAGCCTCAAGTGGCCGCAACGAATAAATGAAGATGATTTTGTGGAACTGTAGAGGTCTGGGTGGGCCCTCTACAGTTTCACAGTTAAAGGGTTCTATTATAATCCACCACCCCAGCTTCATTTTCTTATCTGAAACAAAAAAGCAGAAGGATTTTGTAAATACAGTATGTAACAAGCTAGGGTTCAGAGATAGGTGGTTGGTTGTGGACCCTGTTGGCCTCAGTAGAGGTTTAGCTTTCCTGTGGACTCTCATCCAAGTGTTAAGTCACCTATTTTGTTTGGAGATTGAAGTCCAGCATCCTGAAGGGGCATGTTCTTTCTGGGTGGTGTTAGTCTACATGAGCACATATAGAGGCATCAGGAGAGATCAGTGGGAGTTTCTTCTGAGGGCTAAATCTAAATGGGACAGAGAGTGGATTATTGGTGGGGATTGGAATGCAATCGCTAATAGTAGAGAGAAAATTGGTGGCAAAGACAAGAATACAGATGACATGAGAGATTTCTAGCCTTTTATTGATCAGATGGGAATGGTGGAAGTTCAAATGATGGGGCACCAGTTCACCTGGTCTAACAACAGGGCAAATGATAGTTTAATTGAAGAGAGATTGGATAGAGTATTTGGCTCTTTCCATTGGGCTGCTCATCAACCTAATGCTACTCTGCTAAACTGTTTCAAGTCAGCATCTGATCACAGCTTGTTGGTGTTGATTCAGGATAGTAGCAGTTGCAGCAAGAGAAAGTCAAGGTTTCATTTCGATAAG